TCGTTGAAATCAGCATATATTATTTATAATTTAATACTCCCCATGAATTTAATTTTGAATTTTCATATTATCCAGAAAAATATTATTATCTAAAAGTGTCGTAAATTCGTTAGGAATGGAAAAAATTACTAGATAAAAAAAAATATTTATTATGAATTCTGTAAAAAAAGTGTATCCATAAAATTTTAAAAAGTAATATGCAGTATTAATTAGGTAGACTATTTAGTATTTTCAAAATGAGATCGGTACAGTTGGTGCCATCTACTGCGCATGGGCGTGGCTTTGTTCCGCAGCATAGCTTGGGTCGTCGGCTCGCCGCCTTGTGGCTTGTACCCATCTCATTTTGAATAGAGTAAGTACATATTATAGACGTGCACAGGGGGTATGCGGGAGATTGTAAATTCCGCCCGAAATGAACAGGTAAAAACAAGGGCTATGGTAAATTCCGTCCGGGAAAATATCCAAGCAAAAATAGGTACATGTAAATTCCGCCCGAAAAAATATACAGGTACAAAAATAGTTCCACCCGGAAAAATAAATATTTTTAATCTAAGCGTTCCGTGAATGTACGACGCGACCGTACTTTTCGCGACGCGGTGCGTGTTATAACTTATAGTATTGGGAAGTCACAACATTTTCGAACACGGAACMATCGTATCTYAAAYGATAATCGTCAATCATGTCATATCATATCAGCTTTGACTGCAATATTGTGGATCTAAAATTTCAAATAGAAATATTATAAATTGTGTTCAGTAGGTACACGTCCTAGAGTCTTATACGCTTATATACCTAGTACCTACGCTATAATGGCTCAACTTATCGAATCAGAACGTGGAAATATACTTTTATAATATAATATTTTTATTTTCCGGCGGAATATACATGTACCTTATTTTACCTGTATTTTATTTTGAGCGGAATTTACATGCGCCCGGGGTATGCAGGGTATGCAGCTGCATACCCAGAAACTTTTCGAGGGGCGAAAATCTGTACAAGAAAAAACTTGGAAAAATAATCAGTGCGTATGTTAAAATATTTACCTATAACGATAACAAATGATTAAAAATAAGAGAAATAATATCACTATATACGGACAAATAAAAGCGTGGTGTGTGAYCACTGACCAGCTTAACGGCACTACGGCTACGGCAGTGGCAACGTTTGATTCACGTGAAAAATCATAATAAGATGATCACTCGGCTAACCATCTTTCGACGTATAGCTATGGCCGGGTGYAGCTRTTAGCAAATTGAAACATCAAATTATTAGAAATTAACTACCGAGTATTTGCGAAATACATTTTATTTGTATTTTGTCATGGYGTTTGTCACAATACTTTGTTAATTTTAAACAGTAAGACTYTTCAATAATTGTGTATTGTGTAGGTAGGTGTATAAATTGTCAAAATGTTACATGCTTAGAATAATAACTTTCAGGGCACGCCAGTGGCAGTTTTTTGCATACCCTGACAAAGAGACCTGCGCACGCCTATGATAGAGTATAGTAGTTAATGTAGTAATAACATTGAATATTCTAATAATATAGTGGTAAAAGTTTGACCTTAGTCGCCCGTAAAAAAACATCCAAAAGATTACGAGCCCACTAAGCCACCATTTACATTTCTTACTCATTAATCATTAGTTATTAATTTATTATACTATACTACGTTTGAAATTAAATCGGTTTTAAATAATTCTTACACCACATAATGCGAGCATTATAAATTTTAAAACGGTTTACATTTTTTACGCCATCAAACATAATATAAAATATGTACCTAGTAATAATAGTTTATTACTTATTGTTTATAATTTAACACAATTTATTATTGTACGAATTTCAATTTTCATGACTTGTGATAATATGATAATCTTTTAACCATAGACATATACACATATATGGTTATATCATGTTTATGTCTATGATTTTTACAACATCAAGATAAGCGATAACGAAATTCAAATTCAACATATTTTAACATCATGAATTCATGACAAAATATCAAATTATAAATTACAATTTACAAAATATGATTCTGAGTTGATTTTCTTTGTGTTTTGTTTATTAAACTTTTAAGTTTTAAGTTTTTAAATTTGATTTGAACTCTTGAGACTTGAGTCGTGACTTAGATTAATATCAACGGAATATAACATTTATTTTTCATTAGACCTGTTATATATTATTTGACCTGATTAGTGCCTTAGACCTGTTTTAGTTTTCAATAATTAATTACAATTTGCTATGCACTATAGACTATAGCATAATAATAATAATATATAGGTATGTATATTATGGATGTATATTATGTATATATTGGAATTTATTATATTAATTTTATTAAAAACCAGCGTTAAAGGTTTAATGCAATTTATGATAATTTTTTAGTTGAATTTTACTTGGTACTTTAATTACATAGTGTGATGCATTAGTTGATACTATACAACGAGATGTAGGTATTATGTAGGCATCGATAACAAATTATAATTTTATCAATATTAACCATAGGTATAATAATGGTTTTATTAATGATTGAATAAAGTATAGTTTTAATCATTTTCAGTCCAGTTTCCAGTTACAACAATTACGGATTGTGACGATGGGTGACCCAGTAACAACAAGTGTGAGTGGACCTTTACTGGAGCAGAGGGTTTGGAAAATTATTGTGGTGGGTGACATGAGTACTGGTAAGACTTCTATCATTGAACGGTACTGTGACAAGCATTTTATAGAATACTATCGACCTACGGCAGGTGAGTCAAATGTGTAAGTCCACAGCGATAGTACTGAAATTTAAATTTACTTAATTTTGTTGAGGAAGTGTACCTGAATAGATAATTGCTTATCAATATGGTAGGAACCTACCATATAGATAGATTAAATAATATTTATACCTGAGTTTTTACCTTAATACTTACCACTATTTCTTTTTAAGCCTCTTGTTTATGTTTTTATAATGTATAACAAAAYTAAGACATGTATATCTTATTTAAGTGTTTGAATTTAAATTTTTTCAGGTATTGATTTTAAAAAAAAAACTATCAATTTTGAGAACAAAAGCATCGTTTTAAATATTTGGTAAGTATGTATATTATGTGAACATTTTTGACATGGTTTTGTTAAAGAAATTGAGAGTCACATGGCTATTAGGACTCTTCAAACATGTTTAAAAAATAATAATAACTTTTATAATTGTGTTTAAGTATTACACACTTAAATCACATTACATTGTTGATATAACTGAAATCATATATTTTTATTCATTAATGCTTTAATTAGGGACACTGCTGGAACTGAAAAATATCAATCTTTAATTCAATTGTACTACAGAGGAGCAATGGGGTTATTTATAATCTACGATGTTACAAACATAAATTCTTTACATAACTTGGACACATGGATGAGAAATATTGATGATGTTAGTATTAAAATTTTAGAATAACAAAATTCAATAATAGTATTTAATTTAAATGTCGGTGAATGTAAATTTATGTTTTATTAGAAATAAATATCAGCTGTAAACAGTGGTTGAATTGGTGGAAAAAAAATGAACTCTTCATTTTTCTTCAAATTATAGTTTACCCCTTTATATTATATTCATCAAAGAATAGGATTACTATTAAAATGATTTGCTTAATTATTCAACTTCATTTAGAGTCCACCTTTAGTCTTTTTCCAATTCAACACTGGCTGTAAACAAATTTAGTTCAAACTTTTTTTGGACTAATATTATATATTTTGTAGCATAATAACTTGGCATTCATGTTTTATGTGATTAACTATTTGTGTTAAGTGCTTGTGACCCCACGTTTTTGTTTATAATGTTATTGTAATCTTTGTGCTTAGTATTTGATTTATTCATAATATTTATCAAGTATTGGATATTATCTTCAGTGGCGTCATTTCAGGTTTTGAAAGGGGGGACAAAAATTTTGACCGGCCCATAGGCCATAATTTAAAAAAAAAACACTCGCTAACAATTACATTTTTATCTCAGTACAAACAGTCTTCTTACATCTTACACAATTATATACATACTAGTTAGTTATCTGTGATAACTGTGGTTACTTTAGGCATAAATAACACATTTTTTTTGAAAGATAACAATGACTAATTAATACATAGGTATATAAAATATAATATGTAGAGGGATACCCTATATTACCTATTAGTATTTAGCATTGAGTAATTAATATATGCTCAATGCTATTAGCTACTATATGATGACATATTCTAAGGGGAATTTTACCCCAATTTATGTAATAAGTAAATATTTTATACGAGTAGTGGCCTACAGGGAAGGCGGGAAACCCGGTATCCCACTCGTCCAGTCCACCACTGCACATACAGAATACAGATGTCAGATACCTTATAATTATTTACGTGTTAGTAGGAGCCATGAATCATGGCTATATTCTATTTAGCAATGACATGAATGTTATGAATCATTTTTGCGGGCTTGTAGCCCAAGTCGACCGGCCCGATAGTAGCCTGCTAATGACAAGGGGGGGGGGGCAAATGCCCATCTTGCCCCCTCCCAAATGACGCCACTGATTATCTTGTTAGTATTGTAACTGTATAAATTTAATGATACTATCAGTCAATTTGGTACCAAATGAACTGTTTTCAAAGTATATAATATATAATATTTTTTTTTAATGGTGATTTCATAAATTGTTGGGAATATAGGTTTATCATTAAATATTTCTAAACACATTGTATAAATTAGGTACTTATCATATAAAAAAAATTGTTCATAATTTTAAATATTTTTGTTTTTATTTCAGTTTGCTCCTTCAAATGTGGTAAGAATTTTGATTGGTACTAAATGTGATTTGGAATCAAACAGAATGGTGTCGACCGAAGAAGGGAAACTGGTATTAATATAGAGTTGTGATTAATTAAATGAACATTTAATTACAATATTTTTATCCAAATTATTATGCATAATGATAATGAAAATGACAACCTGCATTTKAACTTGGAGATATTTCCACTATCACTACTATTAATAATGACTGSATATTTTAATAGGTAGCAAAACATTTTGGAATACCCTTTTTTGAAGTATCTTCTAAGAACAATATAAACGTGGATGATTCATTTTTTAAAATGGTATCTATGATATACGAGATGGAATCTGAAAATACTATTAAAAAGGTAATTTGAGCGCAGTAAATATTTTCTTATGGCTACCTATCATATTCTCAAACAAAATAATTTAACTGTGTACCTAACTTATAATTTTATTAAACATAGTTTAAAGTTATATTTACATAGATATTATAGGTGTAATAAAAATGTTTAAACCAAAAGTAGTTTTATTATTCTTTAAATGTATCTTAACACTATACCCATTGATTATTGTTTCTTAGGATTTTGTAATCTTAGAAGACAAACCAATTGCTTGTGACATTGACACTCCATCCAAATGTAACTGTTGATTTGAGAGGTAATGTAATATTTTATAAGGTAATTTAATTAAATGTAATCTCAAGTTTTAATTATTATTACATACCTATATTCTTTAGAAATATATTTTATTTTTTCAAATATAAAATTTGTTCTGATTAATTAAAATTGCTTCCTTTCTATATGATACTTGTCCCTTGAATGTATCATCATATCATTTTTGAAACAGAAATCAAATATTATAAGAAATATACTAATGCAAATGGGGCATATACACAAAGTTCTGGCATAATACCATGTGCCTTCATGATACTCTCTCTCTTTATATRTATAATATATTATATATATATATATATATATATTAATGTATGATATTATCATACATTAATTTACAAAATCTTTGATGCTCTTATTTTTAAATTTAATATATTACGAATGTAAGACTTTAAAAAAATTATTATACATATTATAACATTTGATATATACATAAATTTATTACTTATGATTTATTATTTAGTAGGTATGGTTATCTCAACATTTCTTATCACTTATTAACCTTAACCTTTAAAATACACACACAATGCTAAAAGTATACTTAAATGTTTAATGTTTTCAGTTTCTTTTAGTTTTAATGACATTAGAATTTTCTACTCCCCCCCAGACCTGGTCAATTTTAGAGCATAACGCTCTAATACAAATATTTTTAGAAAAAATAATTTTACAGCGAGGAACAATTGTTGAAAAAATTTTCATTTATGTATAATAATTGTTTGACTTGGTCGTATTCTATAATTTACAAAATGGTAATAGATCAATCAGTTGAAAAAAGGTAGAACTATGCTTGCAATTATTTATTTTTTATTTGATTATGTATTATAAGGTTAGATGCATATTGATTTATAATAATTGTATGTCAGTCACTTAATAGATTTTTAGAATAGTAAAATTGAGTTACAGAGATAGATATATTCACAATTTTAACGCTGAAGCATAACCAGTTTTGCTTCCACATTTCTGTTTAGGCTGACTTTTAAATGAAGAGTAAATAAAAAAATAATTAAAACATTCCATATATTTTTTCTAGTAATATTAATATAATAAAAAATGCAGTACAAGAACACAAGCACATTAGCATATCGCAACACATTTATTGTTTCAATATAAAATTTTGTAGACATAAATTACTATGTAGGAGTGCATGGTGCCATTATGACTTTGTATTGTAACTGTTAATGTAATGATAAAAAAATTACAATATTATATTATTACTCGTGTGGCCATTATAGTGTCCAGTGATATGCTTAAATATGATGAACACATTTAAAAAATGAACGGCGCAATACATTGTATTAACTTAATATTATTATTATTATATTATGTTTGTTTTTTTATACTGTTGAAGTAAAATAAACAAAAAGTAATAATAATAATACAAATTACCCAGAAAAAAAGGAACCGATGTGTATATACTTCCATCTATATAAATTAAGAGACAGTTGATATATATTAATGTAATACTAAAATAATACATAGCGCAGAAAAAAAAAATAACAGGTAACCGCGATTAAAGCTTTAATGACTTATGACTTTATGAGTATAATTTATTAAATATTTTTAATAATAAAATTGAAACAATTTTGTATTTATATTATAGTCGTTAAATAGGTCTACAAAATAAAAATAATCGACRAGACCACTGCAGGGGACAGTTCTGAGCGGTTGACACATTTAATAATTAACACTAAAGCGCTACCTCGTACAGCTGGTATTATAGTAGTTGGTGTAAACCACGGTTTAAGAAGTTCTCAGATAACCATGGTACAAACGATTATCATGAAGACGCGTTATTATAAATTATAATAAAAGAAAACAAGTGATAAAAAAGAAATTAATAAATCAAATTGTTTAAAATTACAAATAATAATTCTAATAACATTGTAATAATATTATATACATTATATATATATATATATATACTTAGGCACCTATTATTATTATTATTTTATAATTATAATAATAATAATTGTTGATAAATACATGATTCTAACACAACATAATATTACAATATAAAATATTATTACTACATAGTTTAAAATAATATTATATAAGCCGATCACGGTATTAACACGAGACGGTTTAAAATAAAAATAAACAACAATAATAATTATAATACTACCTATGTAATACAGGTCACGGACGCGATGTGGTTGCGGCCGTCCGTTGTTTTCAATGGGCATAATAAATAAATATAATCCGGATTGGGGCCCCGTAGTCGTCGTCGTTGTCGTCAACCMTGGTACAAAATTAATATCGAACCAACGACTGGACACGCGATTATTATAATATATTATTGTTACTATACGGACGACGCGTTCAACACTATAATTTGTATTTTTATGATTAGTTTATAACATTATATTATATTTATGTAAAGCTATCACAGCGCGGTATTATTCATTAATTATAATTTTGTCTTGCGCGCACGCCAAACGGACCGCCGTCTCCTCGGTCRGCACGCAAAAACATTCGATRACTGTGCCGCCAGTGATGCGTTGAGTTGATCATCATCAGATGACGCTGGACGGAAGTATGTCCAATGGTCTGGTCAGCGTGCTGGTGCTGTTCTCGGGGCAGCCGTTTTGCACGAGCAAATCTGTCAGGGGACCGACGTCTTGGGCGGAAGCGGTACCGGCGGCGTTCCGGCAAGCCGCCCGCACGTGTTGCAGACACGTCCGGCCCTCGTGGTCCACGGCTTTGGCATTCGCTTTGTACTGTGGGTGAAAACGTAACACGGAATTAATATTATACAATTATTTTTTAAATATTAACTCAATATTATATTACACGAGTATTTTAATCAAATCACTGCTGAGGTTCGTGAGGCRTATAGGGTTATAGATCGGATATATTTAAGTGACTTTTTGGGGGGGATCAAGGTCGTAGGTTCTTTTAGAAGAAATATTTATATGTATATAAATTGTATAGCGATTTCGACAATTTMCGTCGTACATGCATTATAAATGTTATTTTTTGTGTACATTTATTATCAAGTATAGTTGAAACTATACCGTTCTAAATATTTTTTTCTTTTAAAATATTAAATTGGGCTGTTTAGTTTTATTGTCAAAGAATAAKACCTAAAGTTTACACTTTTTTTACACAAAATATTATAATATAAGAATCTGTTGAAAAAATCTGTCGAGTTATTTTTGAGTTTATCCTCAGTATAAAAAAGTTTCATTTCAAAAATGTAATGTCTAGGCATTCAAGTAAGAGCATAATATATTTTATAAGATTGAGTTATTATCACGACAAGTACCTAATATGTATTCTTATCATTTTAAATGTATCACTTACCCATAAGAGTAGCTGCGCTACGGGAAGGTTGATCGCGGAACAGGCTAGGTGTAAAGGCGTGCGCAAGTCTCGATGGCTGACAACACAATTCACCTGGTCAGCGCTGGCGTGGGCTAATATCAGTGTGAGGGCTTTCATGTCGGACCTTAAAATTACRGAAATTAATATATACAATAAATGAGTGTTCTTAGAAAAAACTGTCAAAAACTTTGCAAATTTTCCTGAGTATATAAACGACAGTCCTATTTTTTGGGCTGATTTTGGAAAACAATTTGCATTACCCTAAATCATAAAAGACCCACCTGTACACGGCGTCGATGAGCTGCTGCGATAAGTTYGGAGTGTTACTTATCACGGGTAGGAACTCTTTGGTCTCGTACTTGCTACGTATCCACAGTTCTTTCTCCTCCCGGCTCGAACCRGGATTGGGTTTGGTTCGGTCAGGACGGACGTTGGATTCCCAAACGGAATTTGCCAGATCGTTACCCATCACCATCATTACTTTGAGGTGGGAAGGTCTAGAAAAACATTGTTTTTGATAAAAAATTGATCGTATCGATAACTATTTTAGTATATGTCATGGGGCTAACTTTTGAGCATAGATTTTATTTTTTTGTAAGTATATATAACTTCAACTAAATTTGAATATTGTATGGGCATCTAATTTTAAAATGAATGTTTAACACTCACGGCCATCCATCTAAATCGAGCGATCGGACTTTGGATATGTGCGAGCCCAGGTTGCGGTGTATGCCGGAACACTCTATGCACATGAGTATTCCTAAATTCAAACTGGCCCAATCGGGATTCGGGGAATTGCAATCAGCGCATTGACCGTTTCCAGGCACTCGCGTCCGGATGCTTTGCACGTCTTCCGCCCGGTTATAGGACGAGCCGAATTTACCGCCGACATTCACTTTGTTGATCTCATTGCTCTGTGGAAATAAAGTTATTTATTTTTTATATTGATATATAAAGTAAATACCTTTTGTAGTATAAAAATGTCTTTTGTCGTAAATACATAAGTAACAACATAGCTTAAGATATACAAGGTTATTGCAATAGTATACCCCCATATCATTTTATTACGTCGAGGAATTAAAATGACGCAATGCAAAGGTCACGACTTATATTTWAGTCATAAACCGTAACATTATTATTCTGTTTTATTTTGTTTGATAATAATATAAATAATGTAATAAAATAAATTTTACTATATGTACAATGATCCTGTATATTTAAGCCACGTGTAATACTAATAAACACTGACTTGTAAAGAGTTGAGAATCTGTTGTTCGATGGCGGCCACCCATTCGTCTCGGTCATCCGAGCTGTTGGCTTCGAATTGCCACTGYTTGTTGTCCAACGATACGATTAAGAATTCGTATCCATCGGTGTCTGCGAACATTATTTTAATTTTATTTTCGGAACATTAGTTGTTGTTTTATTGTTTAATGACATAACGAATGTTTGTATAGGCCAATATTGTCACAAAGATTGTTATCAATGAATAATTAAATACATTTAACTGATACGTGATAAAAAATATATTATCCGTAATAATGAAGATTATTATTATATATAATTAGGTAACTATCGTTAAGAGGATGCTACATCCGCATAATATGTCACCTCTGTCTTACATTAAAATTGTACAACATACAAAAAACTGTTTTGTGTGGGACACATACCTCTTTTGTATTTATAGAGAAATTACCGAAATTCTACAGCGCATTGGGAAG